AAGCAGCTGAGGGTGCACCTGTCACCGGGGGGAGACAAAACATTTTTAAAAAACCCTTGTGTTAAAGTTAAACTCCTCTGCTTTGTGATATTTTCCACCTACTCAGTGGAAATGTGTGCTGCCACATTTTCCATCTGCAGTGTATGTTTGTGTCAGCTCGAGAGGATGTTCTCACTGTGGCAGTCAGTGTGTGTCAGTGCAGTGGAAAAGAGGCCTGTAGGTTGTGTGTTCTCAGTGACTGACCTCCAGGAGAAATCCTCGCTGCTGCAGGTTGACAAGAGCTGCAACAACCAACTGTGAGAGGTGAACACAGCTCTGTTAAAAAAACATCCTGCGGAAAATCCCTCATCGTCTCTGACACACGTCATTCACATGACATGATTCAAAGTGACATCTTACATCTTTGATGATAATTAGCTTGTTGATGTACGTGAGTTCAGTGTGGACCAACTCCCACAATGCCTCGTGCTGATGTCTCTGCATCTTCGACATAGTCTGAGCAGGAAAATGGGGAGAAGAGCAGGAGGGAAGAGAAGGAAAAGGAGACAATCGTTAGAGACGATTCCAGATGTAAACACTGAGTGTGAATTTTACAGTAACAGCAGGAGATGCAACAAAGAAAGTGATGATAAACTACTAATGTGATCAAATTCCATGAAAAGAACAAGGCGTTAGTTCATCTCTCACTTTATCAAGCTGTGTGTTGCATTAATTTAGAATTAATTAATTAATTAATTAATAATTCCTAGAGACATAAATCTAGATTTAAGAAATAGAATAGAATAGAACAGAATAATCATTAGAAAATAATCATTTGAAAAGTAAGTAAGGTGCATTTTGGGGGACTTCTTTTGGATGTGGACTTTAAGGCCCAGTGAGAAACAGTGGAGGTCTATGGCACAAAGATTTGAACTTCATCAGGCTTTAGCTTGAAAGGTAATAGTTGTTATTAGAATAAATTCAGTGTTTAATGTTTGTTTTTGAAATTCTTCACAAAAAGAAAGCGCCCGTACTGAATGAGAGTGAACTATATCTGTCCAGTTCTTCTCCAGTGTTGTTCCTCTACTCTCCTCCTTCCATTTCCACCTCAGACTGACTGGCACGGCATACGCCTCCAGATCCTGTTTCAACACATCCAGCTGACCTCGCTCCTGAGAGACAGAAAAAATAGAACATTTGATGTATTAGTGAATTACTAATCACTTAGAAGTGATGATCAACAGTTGTACACAATAGTTGTGGTAGGTTGTTACAAAAAAATGCCAGTGAAGCAGAACAGATTGCTGCAGTTGTTTGAGTGGGTGGACCATGTTAGCATGTCAGCATGTAGTGTGACGAGCAGGAGGTGGCGTAATACCTCAGACGCAGGGTTCTTGTCAGAGGACACTCCCTGGTTGAACAGAACCTGTCTCAGTGCTGCTCTGGGCCTTGTTGCTGCAGACGTTCCTTTACTCACGGTTGCAAAGTCAGTCACCACCTTCTGCTTGGTCCGCCTCTGGAAAGTTAAACATTTGCACATTTCAAGTGACGCATTTCATGTTTGCAGAGGAACTATGATTTACAACAAATGAATCATTGCACTTCCTTTTTCTTTTATATTTTTACTATAAGAACTAGACATTCACATGTATACACTCAGTGCCGTTCTAGCTCATGAAGTGTTGAGCTGTTAAATGTGCAGAATCATCAGCAGATAAATAAAAACTATGCATCATGTGTGAGAAGCTGTTCAAATGTTCTGTATGAAAACATGAAAAACAAATCAATAGTGTAAAGTTGCATAAAATGGAAATATGAAAACTAAACACCTCTAACTTGTACTTGATTAATTGTGCATGTTTGAAGTCATCACTGTAAATGTCAGATCTGCGCTGTGACACTTGCCTGGTAGCCCAGAGAATTGAACTTGTGTTTGTCTGCTGACCCCCTGTGGTGATGGTTTATATCTGTAGCTGCTGTCGTCCCGTCAACAACATCCATCTCTTTGCCTTCTCCGTCCCTCTTCCTCTCCCCGTCCACACCGTCCCTCCAAAGCACCGACCCGTCTTGCATCTGTGACTCATTTCCCCCGCTGTTGTTTGTGTGCAGATAAGCACACGGATTATTCATTTCCAAAAAAAGTGTGTGAGGGCACAGAGGTTAAGAGTCTGTTACAAAAGGCTTGACATGGAGACTGGAAGAGAATAAAGAGACATTGTGCACTTTGTTATCATTTGATGGGTTGACTAAGACTTTCTTTTCAAGATTAAAACTGGAGAACTCTTAGGTAAAAAAACAAATAAAGATCTGGGTTCAAGTTGTTAAAGACACTGGATCCCAATTCTTTTGAGCTTTCAAATTAAAGCCAAGTCTGCGTGTCACAAGTTGCATCTGTCAACTTGTTCAACCATAAACAATCTTTTCTGCTTTATTTATTTTGTATGTTAACTAATTCGTGAAGTGACGAATAAACCAACTAGTTTGCAACAACTCTTACTATTGATGGGCTTAAAAAACACTAAACATACGCAAAACTAAACATACTACAAATAAAACAATGTGACCATAAAACTCAGTGATAAGTATCAGAGCAGATTCATGACCATATGACTGATCCCTCTTTTAAAAACTGCTTCAACTCAAGATGAAGATGTTTAAGGTCCCAGTTAGTGTCAAGTTTTGTGGATGATCAGTTTCTCAAATTGAAAAGATGGATGCTCAATTGAGGCTTTAGGACATGTTTTAGTTTTCCATAGACATTCTCTGTACATAAGGAGAATGGTTATTCAGACACTTACAGGTGAGTGTAATAAAAGCAAGCTTGAAGAAACAATCAAAACATGACCTATTTATTTTCTTCAGAATATGGAAGTGGTAATGACTTATTGTAAGTGCACAAGTTTTCGTCATCACAAAAGCTCCAGTTAGTCATCTACTTGATATATAGGGGGACTGTGAGAGAGACAGTGGGCGAGAAGCAGTACACCCTGTACAGGCCACCATTGTATCACAAGGTCAACATGTAGAGACAAACAACCATTCACACTCACATTCACACCTATGGCCAATGTGGAGTCACCCCAGTCTTTGGACTGTGGGAGGAAAACAGGGAGAGCATGCAAACTCAACACAGATTCGAACCGGGAACCTTCTTACTGTGAGACCCACTGAACAACTGTGCCACTCAAGAAAAATAAGAGTTTAAAAAATACATGTGGTTTTGTATAAAGTCTAGATTTTTCGACAGCTGTCTCTCAGCAGAGGAGGAGACAATAATGTCACAATAAATGTATTAGACGTCAAACAAGCATGATGGTAACAAACGGATGGAAAGTAAAATCATATTAAATAGCAACAGAATATAGGCAAGTCTAGACAGGGTTTTGTTTCAATAATTATTAATAATCTAATATGGTAGTAGGAGGTAAACAAAAGAAAATAATTAGCAGTAATTTATGTATCTAATATTTGCCTCTGTGGACCATTACATGACAAAGTAAACACCAGGTGAGACTCAGGTAACCAGACTGTCCATGTTGCATCTCTCAGACGATAACATTGACATGGACACTGATAGTTTCACATGGCAGCAGCTCAAGTTACACAGCTCTGCATGCCGCCGTGTCACTCCAGGACAAATGTGAGTTTGTTAGATCCCACAAATCTGAAATCGCAATCTACAGATTTAGATTACAGCGAAGAATGCGTTGTCATTCTCAGGAAGCTTGTGTGTCATAGTGAAATTTTTCACAATTTACTGCTGCAGCCAGAAAAGTCATTTCCACACTGCTGGGTCAAAGCTGACACATAAGCAGGAACTGATGCTGGAAGTGCAGTGTGGGATCACTGCTCTGACATGATCATATATTGACACACTTTGAGAAGTTATTCTAAAACCAAAGACACTCATGAGAACACAAACTGCAGCGGGGAACTCTGCACCTCACACAACTATGTCAGACATCAATGCTCTGACGCAAATGCTTTCATCGAGGTGTTGTTCCTGTTTGCAATCTGTCTGTCTGTATCCCACAGTAACACACCGAAGACACACAATTATACCTGATTTGGAATATTTGAGCCGATTTTAAGATGAACAAAGGCTCAATGATGACAAGTAGTTTTACAGCCTCTGCAAAACAACAAATCAAATGCAACAGCAGAGTCCAGAGATCCGCACTGAAGCTTCAACAAGAAGGTGACTGACAGAAGTGAAGACTCGCTGTCCTCCTGTACCTGCTCTCACCACCAGATTCCCTCTATATCAGGTAAAAACAGTAGACTTTACCTGGGCTTGTTTGGATCCATTTTGTTTCACACAGTCATCTTTGGTTTCTGTTAGCATTCTCCTCCCCTCTCTCTCTTTACCTGGACGGGTCCCTCCCTCTGCAGCTTTCACCTGCACCCCTTCCCTCTGCAACTGGCCCAACGAGAACAACTGGATTCTGTGGCAAACAAATCGGAGCTCAGGGCTGGCTAATGTGTCCCAGGTGAAAGCGCTTAGAGGAGCAGACGCGGTGACTGATTCCTTTTGAGGAAGATCTGTTGTTCTTTCATTCAGGGTTGTTGATCACCCCTGAGCAAACAGGAGGGAATCATTTTTCATAAAAATGGTGAAAAAGAGGTTTTATCTGTTCTGATCAGCAGATACTTTTGCTATTTACATAACAGGAAGTAAGATATGAATGATATGAAGTCAGGCATGAGAATATAGTGTTTGATAGAGAACTGGACAGAGAGTGCGTGAGTCAGAGGGAAGCAGAGAAGTTTGAAGAATGCAGCTACAGGAAAGGGGAAAAAAACAGGTCAGGTCAAAGACTTGGCAGTGGAATCAACAGGAGACAAAATGTCCCTACATATGTGATAAATGTTTAAAGTTTGAAGTGGAATGTAGAGCGGCAGTGAGCCTGAGGGTAAATATAAGATTACTGTATATCCTCATTGTGACACACCAGCCGCTGGAGGCCTCCACACAAACACGCCCAGTACAACATGAAAAAAACATTTATTCAAAGATCGAATTTGAACATTCAAAGATCATAATTGCTGCTCAGCATTGCTTTTTGGCTCGATATATGTTTCCATCTCATAATGTACAATACAAACAGGGAGACATTGCTTTGGAATGACAAGTCTCCAAACTGAGAGAGCACGAATGATTCATATCTGAATCTGCAGGCTGGAACTGGTCTCGTAAAAGTTACTTGGCTGAGACAGACCTAGACAAGGTGTGTTCTGTTCTGTCCAACAGTCATGAATAATGCTTATATAATGGGGCTTACAGGAATTCTAATGGGGCTGTGAAGATTGTAAAATCCCACGATAAGCAGGAACTACTAAAACAATAACAGTTATCTTTGTGGTAGAGGGTAAATAAACTCTGTTAAAAGTTGTGCTTCTTCTGCTAAAACAAAAACAATGAAAAGAATATAAATTTATATTATATATTTAAACACAGCTGCAACTTTTAAGTATATTTTTCTGGCTTTTTGTGCCTGTATGACATCGGGATGTTGTAAAGAGCCAAGTGCAGGGGAGAGACATTGGTGGATCCAGGGAATCAGGGGTCCAGAAAGGGGCCACAAATGACAGAGAGGGGCCAATTTTATGTCCACCGTCCTTTCACAGGTCCTGATTCAGTAAGGTGCACATATAAGTCATTCCTTGTTTATAATTTGCGCTAAAGCTTAGAGCAAAGGCACACATCAATACATTTTGAAAATTGTTCTTTGATCAAGCGCAATGTGTCCATCAAAATAGCTTAGAAAATAAAAATTCTTAGCAACAATAACTAATTATTAGTGAGAGGCTACTTTAACAATAATAAGTAAGACTACTGACAAGAAATGGCCCATCAGGGGCAAATCAGATTTTACCCGGCCTCGCCCATGGATCTGCCCCTGGACAGAGGGTAGGGAATACAGTAAAAAGTTACAAATAGCTTCCAAAGCGTCCAGCACCTTGTCACCTTGCAACTGAGACTTCTGACAGAAATGGAGGAATTTAATTGGCAAACTCTTTATATGGCAGATATTAATAAAAAGGTTTGCTGTCCAATAAAAAGTTGATAAGGCCACATGAAAATGTGATTTTGTACAAATGACATCAGTGGATGTATTCTGTATAGTAACAAGTGACCAGTCTAGTATGAAATGATAAAGGCTATTATTCCCATACCCCGCCAAAGGCATACAGTGCAGTAATACTAATGCAACGCCGCATCTTAGATACTGTGTATAAAAAGATCTTCATCAACACTAATTATATTATTGTGATTATATTATATATACGCTCTCTGACTGGATGAGTTTGATGAGAAAAGCAAGAGAATGTTCACATTTGGAATGTGATATCAATCTTCTCATCTAACACTTGGAAGAAAAAAAAAGCCCATTACCCAAAATGTCTATTCTTTAAACTTTAAAAAATATACATAAGTACACATACACATGCAGTGCTGAATATACAAAGGGTTGAGCAGAATTTATCAATGCAAAATCCTTTTTCAGAGGCTCCCCCTCCCTGAATGTTTCCCTCAGTCCCTCTCAGTAGTTTGGTCTTGTTGTCTTAGTGGGTGATGGGAACAAGAGGTAGATCACTCAGTCATGCTGGTTTGCTTTGAACTAGAACTGCTGCTTTGGTGGTAGCACCGTGTCTTTTTGCTTTGAGGCTGTCTGTGAGGGTGTCTCCAAAGAGAACAATACTTGGTTTCACAAGCTTCGGCTGGCGTTGGTGAATTACTGGATGCTGTACTTTGTCTCCAGCTCCTCGGCCACCCCTCCCAGGCGCATCGTTCTCAGTTTGTCCAACAACTCCTGCAACAAAGACAAGTGCAGTAGTCCACTTTCTCCTCCTCCATCTGCACGAGACACTTTCTCAGCCCACAACCGCAGCATCTGGTAGTGAGCCTCCTTGCAGAACCGGTGATCCAGCTCTGCTTGTTCGATCTCTGTATCCCTCACACCTAGAGTACGCACCAGCTGCTTCACCTGCAGCGCAGGAACTAGTTCCAACACTGAGTAGATTAGGTCAGTGACTAGAGAAGGGGTAAAACAGAGGGGAGGGGGTTGTTGAGAGGGAGCGATCAGAGTTAGTACAATAGTGCGCTGTATGTTTGACACTGGAACGTGTGCTGCTATGCACAGTATTCAATCCACTCACTCTTGATTTCCAGGGGGACACAGTCAGGCAGATTGGATGGCTGCTGTTCACTCACAGGGCTGTTGGGAGTGGTTTCGACATTGCTGTTTTCTGAACATTCTTCACTACTGCACAGGATCAACTATGAAACAAGAGTAAATCAAAATGTATTGAATGTACTTCCAGTGGTGAAAAATGTTACCAGAGGCTGTTGGACCAGTTTACCTCGCAAGGGTCCGGAGAATCATCGTGGTGGGACGGCTTTACCAACTTCTTCTTGATGGACCGTTTAGTGACCAGGTGAGTGATGAGAGCGACCAGCCCCAACAACAAAAGAGCCACAGAAACAACTCCAGCAATTATGTTTGTCAGAAATTCCTTCCCTGTGTCGGGAGCTTCAGGATGATTACAAGAGACACGTAGGAAAAAAGAACACAGACGGATAAATGTTAAAAATGTATAATTCTTTTTTTTTACATT